ATGCATTTTTGGTCTCAAAGTTGCCATAGATTTGGGGATCAAAATCCTTAAATGTATTCGGAGATTCATCTTTTGTCATCAGTCAGATTAAAGGGGAATGGGACACCAAACACCCTAACCTTATCCCCTACAAAGAACATGTGCTGACATTGATCCCACATTTTGAGAAGATTACCTTCAAGCATTTCCTGCGAGAAGAAAATCAGCTAGCAGACGCACTAGCCACAATGTCATCCATGTTTAAACTTAAATGGGATAACGAGGCTCCCCAGATCACCATTGAACGAATGGATGAACCAGCTCATTGTCACGAGATTAATACTAAAAAAGTAGTGGACCGGCCTTGGTTTCCCGAAGTCAAGAGGTATCTCGAGGCTCAAGAATATTCGAAAGGAGCTTCATTCAATGATAAGAAGTTCTTAAGGAGACTCTCTGATAAGTTCTTCCTTAGTAACGACATTCTCTACAAACGCAACCATGACTCCGTTTTGCTTCGTTGCATAGACAAGGTTGAGGCAGAAAAGATCATGGTTGATCTACATAAGGGCACTTTTGGAACCCATTCCAGTGGGCATACGATGGCAAAGAAAATCCTACGGGCAGGTTATTACTGGTCTGCCATGGAAGCAGATTGCTATCAACATTCTCGAACCTACCACAAGTGTCAGATCTATGATGACAAGGTGCACGTACCTCCGGTTCCTCTAAATGTCTTGACGAATCCTTGGCCCTTTGCTATATGGGGCATCGATATGATTAGGGAAATCAAGCCAACAGCCTCTAATGGACACCGCTTCATCTTGGTGGCCATTGACTATTTCACAAAGTGGGTTGAGGCGGCTTATTTCGCTTCCGTTGCCAAGAATGTTGTCGCCCGGTTCATCAAGAAAAATATCATCTGTCGGCACGGTATCCCGGAGAGGATCATCACAGACAATGGTACGAACCTTAATAACACTATGATCACCGCCCTATGCGAGCAGTTCAAAATCCAGTATCACAATTCTTCCCCTTACCGACCAAAGATGAATGGTGTTGTCGAAGCCACAAATAAGAACATCAAAAAGATCATACAGAAAATGGCAGTCATGTATAAAGACTGGCATGAGATGCTACCGTTTTCTCTCCACGATTATCATACCACGACACGCACATCAACCGGGGAAACACCCTACTCTCTAGTATACGGCATGGAGGATGTTTTGCCTATTGAGGTCCAGATCCCCTCTTTGAGAATTATGAAGGATGCAGGGATGAATGAAGAAGATTGGATCCAAACTCGACTTGATCAATTGAACTTGATTGATGAGAAAAGGCTTACTGCTGTCTGTCATGGTCAAATGTATCAAAAAAGGATGATCAAGGATTTCAACAAAAAGGTCAGACGCCAAGTGTATAAAGTCGGGGATCTGGTGATCAAACGTATCATACTACCATAGGGTGATCCCAAGGGTAAATGGACTCCTACATACGAAGGACCATTTGTGATCAAAAGCATATTCTCTGGTGGAGCAATGATCTTGACCACTATGGATGGCGACGACCTGCCACACCCTGTGAACACGGACATGTTCAAAAGACACTACGCATAAGAGACCCGCTAGGTTGACACACCTAGGCAAAACAAGGGCATCCCGGCGAACCAAAAAAGTTCGGGCAAAAATTAGGGATAAAACAAAAAAAATTGTACACCCGGCAAGCTGAAAACCCGAAAGGGCAGCTTGGGCAAAAAAGGGTATCCCGGTGGATTGAAAACTCGAAAGGGCGGTCCAGGAAAAAGTTAGGGAACTAAAGCGTATGACTATGTTCAGTTGGATCACCTTACGAACAACCTGCAAACTCGACGGTTCTGATCAATTCAATCAGCTTCGGACAAGGCAACAAATAGATAAGATGCTCAGAGACACGAAAGCTATAGAAGAATGGGAACCCCATGGGATTATTTCACATAGCTATCTTTTCTTTGTATCAAATTTTCATTTTTCACGACGGAATTCTCTTACTAGAATGTTTGTCTCATTGTACAAAAATACTTACTCAAAGTCAATACAAAGATGTCCCTTTGAAAGTGCAAAAATATCTGTTATTTTTTACTCTTGTGTTTTGTTTACGAAAACGTCCAATGATTTATTTTTTGAACATATGCATTTGAACGTAACTGCCTTTTACAAATGAACAAAATAGAAAGACGATCACTAATGGCTTTAAGAGATAGGGAAATCTCTCTAAGCTCTTTCCATAAAGTCCCCCGCAGTGTGCAGTTTAATCCCCAGCGGAATAAAACTTCCAGTTATCACTCCCCGTTAGAAGTCGCCAAATTTCTCAGGATTCCCCAACAGGATTTTGCAAGCAGTACACGGCATTTCCCTTACAACAAAGTTTATTTCTCTAAGTGGAAATTCATCAACACTTCAAAACATGAAGGCTTGCACTCCGTATCCTCAGCAGCAGTCGAGGATTTATTTTCCCCAATCCAACAAGCAGTGCAGCAAATTAGCTCACATACACATACATCGCATCCATATATCATAAACGTCGATAACACGAATGCGTGTATCACAATCTCATTATACCATGCATTTCGTACAACATGACATTGCATATTAGCTAACATTTTACCCTTTTCAGGATAAGGTTAATCAATAACTACCATTAACAATGTTCAAAGGCTTTTCAGATACAGTTCAGATACGCTCCAGACACGGATGCCATCCTGATACTCATTCAGATTCAACTTTCGGATACAGTTTAGATACACTCTAGACACGAATGCCATCCTGATACTCATTCAGATTCAACTCTCAGATACAGATCAGATACGCTCCAGATATGGGTGCCATCCTGATACTCATTCAGATTCAATTCTCAGATACAATTAAGATACGCTCCAGACACGGATGACATCCTGATACTCATTCATATTCAACTTTCGGACACATTTCATATACGCTCCAGGCATAGATGCCATCCTGATACTCATTCAGATTCAAGTCTCAGGTACAGTTCAGATACGCTCCAGACATGGATGCCATCCTGATACTCATTCAAATTCAACTCTCAGAAACAGTTCAGATACGCTCCAGACACGGATGCCATCCTGGTACTCATTCAGATTCAACTTTCAGATACAGTTCAGATACGCTCCAGACACGGACGCCATTCTGATACTCATTCAGATTCAGTTTTCAAATACAGTTCAGATACGCTTCAGACTCAGACGTCATTCTGATATTCATTCAGTTTTAGCTTACAGATATGGTTCAACAATCATTCCTGGATGGCATCTACAAGCCCATCTCCAACAACTTTCCATCATCCCTCTAAATTGCATCTTTAATCCCATTCCCTATACCATCAACCATCACATCACCGAGTGCAAATTTCTGGGCATTCTAATGTCCAATCATCTTCCACCTTCGAGTCACGAATGGCAAAACTCGCCAATCTAACTATTCAGGCTTAAGAAGATTGAACATGGGAATCTGTTGTACCCCCAAAATTTTCCCTCTCATTTATCAAGAATTTGCTCACAAGATCTCCTTTGGCTCAAGACTGCACTAGGGTTGATCAGCTCAAGACACCTCCTTAAGCACTGATGACCAAAATTAGGGTTTGAGATTTCACAAGGATATTTGAACTTCCAATGCCCCATGTGACTTTCATAGATCATTATGAACCCTCAAGATTACTCATGTCAATTTTCAAGCTTTGGATCACACTTTTGCTCAGTCAATTGAGCAGTTGACCTAAAAATCAACTATATTGGGGGAAAAGTCAACTATGGCCAATTTACAGTCAAACTTCATAATTTTTGATCCACATCAACATTATAAATTCATATGTATCATTTGATCAAGTTTGGACCACAATTCCTCAAGAAATTTGATCAAAGCAAAAGGGAAAATGGTCAAAATTAGGGTTTTGACTAGAAAAGGGTAATTTCTGATTTTTGACCTAGCAAATGATAAATTTGTTTAAGGCATGATCTCAAGAGTCCAATTGCATAATTTTGACCTAATGACATGGCTCAAAACATTGCTCAAGTCCAATGGATTGACAGATGAATTTTCAATCAGTTGATCAAAAGTCAATTGTATACTAAAAAGTTGGTCAAAATCAAATGTCAAAGATCACAATTCATCAAAGCAAGTCAAAATATGAAAATTATTCATCAAGAAATAAAAAATTCAAGATTTCATTTGAAAAGTTAAAATTTCTAAACTTAGAAATTTTTCCAAGTGTTGGAAATTTCTTATTTTTTCACAACTTTGAGCAAAATTTTCACCATGATGCAAGATGATTCAAAAGAAACTTTTAACATGAAAGTTGTAGACCTCCATGAAATCTACAATATTTCTTTACACAACTCCTTCCAAAAGTGCTTGGATCTCAAGTTATAATTTTAAGAACACATGGTCATGAAACAAAACACTTAGTGAAATTTTGCCCTAATTTGGTCAGGATTTTGACCTAACTTCATGGAACTTTTTCATATAGTTCCAAGGGGAATTTTCAAAATTGATTCAAAGAGGGGTTGTATAGAACATTAAAAGTTTTCCAAAATGTCCAAGAAATCCTTGAGATCATTTTTGAGTAGGGAGAATCGAAGAGATGAAGTTAGGGTTTTCACACTTGAATTATAAGTCATTTTGTGATGAACAAGATTCAAAATTCAAACTTATGCTGCATAACCTCTACTTTGCAGACCTCAAACTTGTTAGGAACTCCATAATTAATTGCTTTCACAGTTGTTAGAGGTCTCAATTCAAGCATTCAATGCAAGGTCATGCTTTATATCCATTTTGGGAAAAAGTGCACAATGCCATTTTGATAAAGTAGCTTTTTGCACAAAACTTGTTCTTGAGCCTTGCAATTGCTTTCTTCTGATCATACAAGTTGCATAACTCAAGAGAAGCTTGTCTAGACACTTACAGTCACTCAGATCGATGAAGAAGAAGCCATGAAGAAAAGGAGATCACGGTCGTTTGAATCGATCGAAACTAAAGATGAAGCTTTGGGGCTTGAAGTTGAGAGTTGTGTTGAGAAGGAGCTTGAAGAAGGACAAGATTCAAATCTGAGATGATATTGAATGGTGAAGTTGCGTTACTGTGGAAGCTTGAATAGACGAACCAAGTGATATGAAGATCGGAGCATGGCGGCGGCGTTATCGGCGGTGGATGTCTTCCAACGATTTTGAGGAAGAAGAGGTGAGTACGGCACCACTGTAAGGAAGACGAAGACGATGAGTTTTCGTGGAAGACGAAGAAGTTATCAGCGGTGGATGTCTTCCAATGATTTTGAGGAAGAAGAGGTAAGTACAGCGCCACTGTAAGGAAGACGAAGAGGTTGAGTTTTCGTGGAAGCCAAAGTGTCGCGCATTTTAACCCTAAAGCGCATTGTTCCAGTGTCCTTCCATTCTTTCTTAATTTGTTTATTTTTTTAAAAAAATATAATGATAATACTAAAATTTAGAAATTACATTTTTTATTGAGATTAGGTTTGGACTGAATTATTGTGATTGTTGGGCTGGTGGAGGACTGCGTTGGGCCTTGCATTTTTACACTTTAGGTGACTCAGTATGACTGTTTTATTTTGAGCTTGAAAGCTATGTGACAAAAACTCCCTCTTGGGCTTAGGATGTTGGGCCTAGCGCCTGACTTTGGTTCACCTCCTCGAACACCCCCCAGATCCAACTTGCACATCCCTTTGTTTGGTTATTTGAAGTTCTTTTCGATAATTTCTTTAATTTTTATTTTTATTAACTTTGATCGCATAAAATTATGATGAAAATGTGATACAAAAAATAGTAGAATATACTAGTTGACTTTTTAGAATTTCTCTTTTAGAATTTAATTAAGAGTTTGTCTTTATTCTTCATATTTCATGATTAATTCTTGCCTTGATTTTGCGATAGCATATTGATTTGTGATGTTAAGCGCCAGAGGATTAACTTGGTTGATTGCTGGTGGAGCTTCTTGCTGGTTAGACGGTTCTTTTCTATAGCTCTTACCTTATGCTTTAGGATAGTCCCTTCTTCTCCTCCCATCTTCTTTAATTTTAAAAATATTCACCCCCTTTTGAAAACTCTTCTTGTTTTTTTTAAACTCGAAACACTTTCATAATAAACTTGGACTTAGGTCCATACATTTTCAAAATATTTTCATGAATAAATTTCAATCAACTTAATAATACCTTGACATTTTTTGTGAGAAGACTAAAAGTCGATCAATCTCATTTAAAACCATTTTCCACTTTGGCTTTTATTTAAAAAAGTTTCTCAAAAGATTAGACTCTTGTCAATCCTTGTAGTGATGCAAACAACTATACTTCTACAATATATAGTGAAGAGAGATATTTTCCATTTGGGTGTTGAGTGAGGAAATTTTGATTTTAAAATCCAAGCCATACCCCCCACTTTGAGATGATGCAAATACTCATTTCTCATGATTGTGGGTAGTAAGTATCTTTTATACACGGATAATGACGATGATGTCTTATCTCATAAAATTAACCAACACACTTGTGTTTTAAAATTTTTAAAAGGTGAACTACGAGTACCCTGATCCCCTATTGCACGGAAGGTGGTATGTAGGCACTAAAGGTTCGCAACCGCGGCGGGTGCAAAAAAATCATAAAAAATATTTCTTTTCTCACCTCAACCATCTATCTTTACACAACATTTTATAGCCAAAATATACAGATTTTACAAAGAGGTTCCTACGGAGTACCGTAGATGTTTGGGGTGCTAATATTTTCCCTTTGCATAACCAACCCTCTTACCTTGAATCCTCCCCCCTCTTTTGCGTTATTCACTCTTTTCCCGTTCCTTTGGAAATAATAAAGTGCGGTGGTGATTTTTATTTTGATCTGTATAAGTCTAGTCAATCCAATGGCTTAGTCTTAAACATTTCTACCGCTACAGATGGTACAAGCAATATTTTGTTCTATCTTACCCAGGCTTTGAAGGAGCGGGTCGAGGACGTCTGACACCGCCGTTCTTGAACTCGGTATTAGAGCACTTCACATGGATACACTCACGGGAAGCAGTCAGCGGGGTGTACTATGTGAACTTCCCTGTTGGTCCTTTATGATCGCAGGGATCGTGCGATTTCTCCTCCCTTTTCTTCTCCCAGCCTATCGAGAAGGGCCCACGTCTTGGTGTCGTGGAATGTTAGTTAGTCAGTGGTTCCTCGAATCGAGTGATTTATTGGCCGCTTCTTTCCCCTTGTAGTCCATGTATGCCCTAGCCTTTTCGAGGAGAGTGTCGAAATACCGGGGGAGGCTCAATGCCGACGGCCTTTCTGAATTCAGTGCCCAGAAGATGTTCTCTATCGAGTAAGTACCTTTTCATATGATCGGTGCACACGACCTGAATGGCCTCGCGTTTGAAACGATCAATGTATTCCATTAGGGTCTTGTTGCTTCTCTGGACGATTGCCTCAAGGGCGGACTCCGTCTTTGGATGTTGATGAGACGCGATGAAGGAGCTGATGAACTAGTTCTTGAGGCTCCTCCAGGAGATGATCGACCCAGGGGATAGGTTCTTGTACCAGTCCATGGTTTTTTTCTCTCAAGGTCGTGGAGAACAACCTGCATTTAATTGGCCACCCGATATTATGGTAATGGAGCATTGCTTCAAACCCGTCGATGTGGTCAACAGGATCTACAATGTAGTCGTACTCCTTTAGTAGGGGAGGATTCTTCATTCCCCTAGGAATGAGAGCCTCCATGATTGCTTGGGACAATGGACCGCGGAGGTCATCTTCGTCACTTCTGTCTGGAGAGCGGGAAGGGGACCGGTTGTAGTGGAGGTCGTTGTGATGGCCTTGGCCGCAGGGGAGATCCCTTGGCCGAGGTTGTCCTTATCTGTTTCCCCTATTTCTATTGTTTCCAGGGGATCGTCGCTCCCTATGCGATGGGGTGTGACCGCGCCTCCTCATAGCTTCGGGCTAACTCCTCTCCAATGCAGGACGTCGACCAGTTCATCGCAAAGAAAGGTTGTGTGAGATCTTCCGCATGCGTCTCTGTGGGGGAGATTGGGTAAAGTCTTCCTTGTGTTGGGGAGGATGAGTGTCAGGTCTTTTGTGCCTTCTGGGGGCCCGAAGAGTTTGCTCGAGCATTCTCAACTGCTCACCCTATGAGAAGATCATGTAGTTGGTTTGGTTGATGGCCGTGAATAGAGCTCTGGTCATGGCGTCTGCACCTGCTAGAACGGGGACCTCCTGAAATGCATTTAGTTCGTAGTTCTAGGGAGGATGATAGTCGTCCTCACGTGGTTGCGAGCGGGATGACGAAGAGGCCGTCAGTCTGTCTCTATAGTTTTGCTCGGGACCGACCATCTTGATGTCGTTGCCGGTGTTGTTGCCAACACTGTTGTCGTCGATGTTGTTGTTGGGGTTAGTGAGGTGGGCGTTTCGGTTATTATCGATAGCTTGGTCGACCATGACAATCGTACAATTTGATGAAGAGTTGCTTTGATCTTGAAAAGAAGACGGGGAAGCTGTTTCTCACAGACGGAGCCACTGATCGTACCTGACCAGAAGGGATTGTCAAAGCCCTCAAGCTTCGAGTCGAGCAGCAGTTCAGTGTGAAGTGGGGGGTACCTGCAAGACGCTCTGATGCCAAATTGAGGTTCAGAGCAAGTGCTAGTAAGTATGAGAATATTAATGAGTGAATGCATACCTAGCCCTCTCAAGTGAGAGAGTATTTATAGTCCCCAGCGCTGGGCCAAGATCCCCATTACTGGGCTGAGCAAACAGGCCCAAGAATGGAGACTGTCATGTCCTACGTGCGTAGTGGAGCCAGCACGTGGATTCCTCTGAACTATCAGGAGGATATGGATGCGGTCTTTTCGGAGTCAAGAGGACTCTGTGGTATTCGGAGGTGTTGAGCGTCAGCCCTACGAAGAGAATGCTCGGAGGACTTGTCTTGATCGACGAGAAGTGTGGACGGTATTCGTGAAGAACTTCCGGACATTATTGGTTCTACTCGTCGTTCATGGGTCCCGTAGAAGACAACCAAGTCGACCAGAAGAGTGTAGTTGTTGGCCGACATGGTCGAGGGTAGACTCTCCCTGCTGACTTTCTCGTGTAACGTAGTTGGATTGAATTTTATATCATGTTTGAATCAAGTGTATGTTCAATCCAGAATCACTTTTATTAAAAAAATAATAGATAAACTATATTGAATAATATTGTTAAATTAAAATAATTAAATCATTTATAATAAAATTAAATGAATAAATTATTCCATTCTAAAATTTTCTTTTTCTTCATTAATTCAAGTTTTGGTTTGAGGCTTGAGGAATTTCATTGCATGCATAGACAAATTTTCACTTATTTCTACATGTTTAGGACAGATAACAATTTCAGATCCTTTTCCAATTGAAGCGAAACTTGCTCGCACACGAAATCCCATATTAGCCCTTGCCTCGCTTAAAAGCGACGGAAAACCACATACATATGAAGGGGCAAAAAAGTCCAGGCAAGTATATTACCATCAACGACGAAACCACCCGAACAAATCATGCAAATACGCAAAACCGAAAGGACACAAGAGCAAAACAAAGTGCCACAAATGATTGAACAACTCATCAACAGAACACTACTGTTTGTAAAAAAAAAAAAACTCAAAGATTCGAATCTTCCGCTCAGAACATTCCTTCACAAAACAAAAAACATCGAATCCAACGGTTGAAAACAACCTAAGCTCAAAAAGAATTCCATGGCATAATTCTAGCATCACCTCACATTTATACCACACCATTGAAAGTTGAAAGTTTGAAACAAACACAAACGTTATATAGCTCTCTCGTTCCTCGTATTTCGCTAATTTCACACCAATCACTCTCTCTTCTCTCAACCACACTTTCTTTTCTCCGCCGGAGAAACTTTGTTTCGGTGGCGGGAGTGGTTTCTTCATCCGTTTGACCGTTAGGTGTTTGCTGTATTGTTTGTATCGTGTTATATTATATTATATTCTTCTTCCTCTGTGCCTTTTCGAAGACATGGAGGTTTCAGAATTGCCACCGGGAAAGTTTGCCGATGTGTTGCCGGAAAAGTCTAATGTTGTGTCACCGAAAAAGGTGCCGGAAAAGTCTAAAGTTTTGTCGCCGAGGTCTTTAGTGGAAAAGGTGTTTGGAGGATACAGTTCAGGGAGTGGAAGTTTCAAGAAGCGTAGTGCAAGTCAGAGTTCCTTAAATGAAGACAACGAAGGTGGCATGGAACTCATGGAGATTGGAGGACAAAGAACAAAAAATGTGTTGATTCTCATGAGTGATACTGGTGGTGGACATAGGGCTTCTGCTGAGGCTATTCGTGATGCTTTTCAAATTGAATTTGGGGATGAATACAAGGTAGGTACTTTTAATCTCACTTGTGTTTCTTAATTTGTTCAATCGAACCATGTTTTGGATCTGTTATAGCTTTTGTTTCAACATATGTTGGTTTTGAAATTTCAGATATTTGTTAAAGATGTTTGGAAGGAGTATACAGGATGGCCATTGAATGATATGGAGGGTCAATATAAATTCATGGTTAAGCATGTTCAGCTATGGAAGGTTGCTTTTCACAGCACTTCTCCTAAATGGATCCACTCTGTCTACTTGGCTGCCGTCGCGGCCTACTACGCCAGGTATATTATATACCTCGTCTAATGCTTTTCCCTTTTGTTGATCGCCATTCATGTGTTGGAATATCAATGATTGAAGTTATATGGTTAATTTGACATTTTTATGATTATGAAATCATAAGTGGAGTTTTCTGATTGAAACTGTACTGTCTTATTTTCAGAGAGGTGGAGGCAGGGTTGATGGAATACAAGCCAGATATTATAATCAGTGTTCATCCCTTGATGCAACATATTCCACTATGGGTTCTGAAGTGGCAAGGTTTGGAAAAGAAAGTTATTTTTGTCACTGTTATCACAGATCTTAGTACCTGCCATCCTACTTGGTAACTTCATGCTTCGTTGTAGCCTGTTGATTTTCTTGCTTTAAAGTCAATTAGTTAATGTGTAAGCTTTTTGCAGGTTTCATCCTTGGGTGAATAGATGTTACTGCTCTTCACAAGAAGTGGCGAATAAAGCCTTACAAGAGGGACTTCAGGAATCTCAAACTCGAATATATGGTTTGCCTATAAGGCCTTCTTTCGCTCGCGCGGTTCTTGTTAAGGTATTAAGCATATTGAAGATGTGAGTAACTTCTGTTTTGATCTCTTTGATGGAACATTGGAATTGAGTTTTTTTATTTTTTATTATAGGCTCAACTAAGAGAAGAACTTGAGATGGATCCTGACTTGCCAGCAGTTTTGCTGATGGGAGGTGGTGAAGGAATGGGTCCTGTCAAGAAAACCGCAAAGGCTCTTGCAGAATCACTTTATGATAAAGTAACTGAAAAACCAATTGGGCAGATTGTAGTCATTTGTGGTCGCAATAAGAATTTAGTAGCTTCCGTGGAAGCTATCAAATGGAAAATTCCAGTAAAGGTAATAACTAATAAGTAAACAGTTAATTACATTTGACTTTGAGCATAGTAGTAAGACAGTCATTGAAAAATTGTTTCTTTGTTTGTGTAGGTTAGAGGATTCGAGACGATAATGGCCAAATGGATGGGAGCATGTGACTGCATCATAACAAAAGTAAGTTATACTGATTTTCTCTAACGGTCTTTTATGGATGGTTTTGAAAGAAGGTACAACCGTAATGTAGGACGCAACATTATAGTTTTTGTTGTCTTGTTGCGATTGAGACTGAATCAGTCGCATTTGACTGCAATTATGCGCAATATCAGAAAGCACGATTTAAAAACCCTTCTTTGATGTGTTGTTTCATACGTTAGCACGGGCTTAATCATTCAATGAAATTTTCAGGCCGGACCAGGTACCATTGCAGAAGCATTGATTAGAGGTCTTCCTATCATCCTCAACGACTATATCCCCGGCCAGGTGAGTTATTCAAACGTTCTCTTCATTGTTATTCTGTTTTTTTCTTTCCCTCTTTATATTAATTCTCAGCTACTATGGAAACTATAGGAAAAAGGTAATGTGCCTTATGTGGTAAACAATGGAGCTGGTGTCTTCACGCGTAGTTCTAATGAAACAGCGCGAATTGTGGCAGAATGGTTCAGTACAAAACAAGATGATCTAAAGAAAATGTCAGAGAATGCACTTAAACTAGCGAATCCAGAGGCCGTGTTTGAGATCGTGAGGGACATTCATGAACTTGCAAAGCAACGCGAACCAGGAGCTTTTCCTTACATGTTGACCTCATCATTTACTAGCATAATCTAATTAATTGATTATTTATTGGTTCATCTTTCACCTTAGCTTTTTTTCCGATCATTTCCATTAGAATTGACATGTACAGATAATTCTTCAAGTTACATTATTCTTTATCGCAGTGGCGTGGTTTTTACTGTCATATAAGGCAAAAGTCTGGTTTTAGCAGACTTTGGGGGTTTATTTAGGATGTTTGTTGGAAGATAAGATTGGTTTGTTTTGTAACTGTGTAATGGTTTCACATTTTACTGTGCATATTAGTCTAATGGTTTTTCTACAAAAAATTCTGTGACTCTATTTATCTCTCAAAGTGTACAAATTTTAGGCACACTGGAAAAAAATTCTTAAGCAAAGAAATCAACATAGTTTGTTAACATATTCGAATGAAACATGATCATTAAGCAGTGGCTAAACGTTACTGTCGAAATCCACATGTATGATATTTAAACAAAAGACAGGTCATATGCACTCTTAGAGCATGAGATTTCAGAACTACTGGCAACAACAAAAAAAGGGCAAAACAAAGGAAGGTTGAGAAAGCTGTTAGATAACACATGAGGACTGGTAGTTGTTGACCCTTGAAGCAAAGAAAACCATAATTAATTCTAAAATTGTGTAGTGTACTTAATTACAGGTGGACATTGAGAAGATATTGAAAAGCAATGAGTATTTATTGTGAGTAGTTGGTTGGTGACAGATTGTTATCATCCGAAAACATACAACACATTGCTTGAGTGAGACGAAATAGCAGTGTTGTTTTCAACTGTAGTTTCCAGTTGCATTTGATCATGTATATTGTATTGTTACATAGATGCACCCTGATGTTTGTTTTGACTCCTTCATATTTATGATATATGATTGGATGAAAAATCGTATAGAATTAAATAGGACATTGATGCTGTTGTGTTGAGTAAGAAATAACATAAAAATATAAAGCCAGATATATAGTAATGATTTGCAGCATAAGTTTCCTTATACCAGCAATGAAACTGTGGCTATTATTTTAATTTTGGTATTACGGTTTAGAACTAATGAGTTGAATTTGGAAAATTAGTTTTTGTATGATGTCACAGAGAGTTTGTGTAGAGTCCATCAAAAGGATAAAATATGTCAACCATCAAAAGGATAAAATATGTCAATTTAATACTAAGAGATTTAAAGATGCTCTATAAAAAATGGTTGATGAATTGAATCTTTACGGTTTTGAGTTTAGCTGTGACTTCTTCTTTGTTGTATTTTACAGATAGTTAAGCCATAGAATAGGCAAAGATCATATGTCTGAAAATCAGAAGTCCGTACAACTATATTATATGTTAGGTGTTTGGCTACTCAGAGAGGTGCAGATGATTTTGGCAAGTTAGTTGACATTGTGTTGGATAACTCTGAGTAAGATGATTTGGGTCATATTTTCATGATGCAACCATTATATGAGATTCATAAGAGGTGGCTAAAGTCCTTGACATCATCATCATCCGAGAGGTAGGGGTAGGATTGAAACTTCAATTGAATATTCGTAATATCAAGATCTTTTGGTCTTCATATGATGGAAGTGAACTTTGGTGGGGGTTATTCCTTTCGGACATTAGAAGGCCGGTGTTTGGAATGAAATTTCTTGGAGGGGCTGTTAATCGAGATAGAGATTTTATTGAGGGGTTGTCCACGAATATAGTTGTTATTGTAACACCTCGATTTAATTAGAATTATTTTTAATTAAATAATAAGATGGTGCAGTGAAATTATATGAGTTGATGAATTTTATGATGTAGTGTGATGCCTTGTTGGAGATTAGATGTCTTAGAATTATAGAAGTTGAGATTATAGGGGGTGTTTAGCTAAATGTGTAGAAACATAAGGGTGTGTGGAATAATATAGATTATTATTATTATATGATTAGAATAATTATTATTATTTTATAATAATAATTAAAATAATTATTTATTGGGATAATTATATTATTATTAGACTATATTAGAATGAGAAAAAGGAATTAGAATCAATACGTGAAAATAGAACAAGCATAGCAGTTGGAAGAGGAGAAAGACACTAGGAAGTTAGGGCAAAGATTTCACCGTAGAAATCAAGAATCAACCAAAACTCTAAGGTAAAGGGGATTCTAACTTTATAAAGGGTTTCCTAACGATGAGGTATGATGGGATTTGGATTGTATGATTGTGTGTTTTGATTCTCTATAATTGGTTGTTTTGGGGTTTTTTTCTTCCCATTGATGGATTTTTAATGATTTTGGTGTGTTTTGATGGGATTAGATGATATGAATTGGTTAGGATTGGTAGATAAATGTTGATGAATGATTAGCATGTTTAAAAGATGAATTTTGACGAAGAAAATTATGAATTTTGGGTGTTGAAATATGGGAGGACCGTAACATGAAAACTGCAGAATTTTTCCCTGTTATCGCAGGATAACCGATTACCCAAATATGGTAACCGATTACCATATCAAAAGTTGAAACACGAATAGCTATTGTCATGCGGTAACTGGTTACCATAAGTGGGTGACCGGTTACCGCGAGGAATTTTAAAAAGGAACAAGGTTACTGTCCTGCGGTAGCCGGTTACCATAACTGGGTAACCGGTTACCACTGCTACTGACAGCATTTTTGGAAAATTTCTAAAACTCATAACTTTTACCTCAGGTGTCTGTTTGACGCATCGTTTGGACCGTTGGGAAGATAAAGTAATTTCCTATTTTATAAAATGACTTATAATTCATTAGTTAAATATTTCATCAATATTGATACGATCCGTAAGTGTATTTTGATTTGTATGTCATGAACTATGTTGTGGTTATTTACGATGATTGTTTTTATTTGTATGCCATGAATTATATTGTGATTATTTGCGATGATTGTTTTGATTTGTATGCCATGAATTATGTTGTGATGATTGTTTTGATTGTGTGACACAAGGTACATTATAATGATGATGGTGATGGCCTGTATTGGCGAAATTGTGATGAGTAATAACGATAAATGCGAAGTAATGTTGTTGCATGATAGTGTCTCATGCATTCATAAAGTGAAGGCTTGTATTGGCGAGTGAAGGTCTGTATTGGCGAGCGAAGTTGATTTCCCTAAATTGACATTGTTGCGAAGAGGGTTCTACCCTGTTGGTACCACATGCGTTGAGTCAGTGTCGGTCTTTTGCATCATATTGTGCTTGATAATTCGATGGGTGAAGATTGATGAAAGTATGTATTATATTATGATGTATGTTATGTGCTGATTATGTGCTTGAATATTTACCTGCTTATTATTATGCTTCCTCTTATATTGTTATGATATCTCACCTCTTTCTATTTGAATGTTGCCTCCACGTGGGTAATGTGTAGATGATCCGAAGTAGCTAGAGATTGAAGGTTAGATGAGGAGTTCCTTTAGTTGCGTAGATTGAGTCGGTGTCTGCTTAGATACGTAACACTTGAGGGTTTCGCGTGATTTGCTTTTTTTATGTTAGGAGTAAACATGTATTGCTCCGTTGTTTGAATTGTTTTATGATTATGCTGATGTTGAAAGATAATAATTATAACTTCGATTGAAATTTTGAGATGGCTATTTGGTTGATGTTTTTCCGCTGCGAATAAATGCATTGAAGTTTAAGACTTATGAGCATGTGATTTGTGTTGTGTATCCTAATTTTGAGCATGTGATTTGTGTTGTGTATCCTAATTTTGAGCATGTGTGATTGGCGAAGTATGTGACATCCTATTTGGTTGATGTTTTATTTATAAATTAAATTACTCTGATTATTATATAAATTATCGACAGGGAAATAGGGTGTTACAGTTATGGATGTTGAGTTAATGCATCATTTGTCACAACTAAAAGATCCACAAAGTGAGATTCTTCTACTTCGATTCTGCATGGACAATGCCAAAACAATTTTCGACCTAAGAACGTGTCAGTTGATTGACTTGGAGGAAGCATGTATGTAGTTTGATAAAGATTTGTGGAGGGCGATTGAAGACATCATGGTTGGTGGAATTCCTTTATTCGAGTACCTTCAATGGAGGGCGACTTCTTTACCTATCAAAGCTATGGGATTGAGTTTATACTCAGCAGTGGAGGTTTCCTTATACACTTTGGTCGATTCCATGGCCTAATATTAGGTGAATGAAGATCATATATTGAGAGACAATGAGATATATGGTACAACCTCTGATTTTAACATAGCTTTGGATGGTCTTAATGATACGATTCCCGATTTTGACCTTAGTAGTTTTACTAGTAAGGATACCGTCCCTCCTAAAGTCCAACATTTTTTGGCGAGTGTCATTTTTATTAAAAGTGTTCAGAACATGGAAATAAAGTATGATATTGTTGCACCCCAAAATTTGTCCTCTTAAGTATGATATTGTTGCATACCATTAGTTCATTAACATAACATACATTTTCATTCAATAAAGGCATTTGAGGTTCAAAAGAGCAATAATCATGCCAACTAGGTTTTTTATTGGTTTTGAAGTGTATATCAAATAAGACTGATTTCTTCTGTCTCTGCAAGAAATGAAGATCATCCCCTTTGTGCTTATAATTCCCATATGAGTTAGGGTTTTATTTCCCTTATCATGAGGTTTACGAGAGAATATTTTAGTGAAATGATCCATCGATGCATTTTATCATTCAAGAAGCTCTTCACCAATTATCTCTTTGAAATACTAGGGTTTCTTATCCATTGTATCTAAGCTTGGAAATATTTCAAATAAGGATCCTATGGATTAAGGTTTGGTCTTATGACTATCTCAAGCATCTTCATTCTACCAAGCTAAGGACTTCTCTCAAGTCATTATCCTTTGATTTTTCTATGCAATGACTCGAGGGTTTGAATGAGGATATATGGATTTCCTTGTGGATTTTGGTTCAAGTGATATACTCACATGCTTAAGTTTATTAATTGGTCAAGATTAGGGTTCCTCATCAGTTAAGAGGTGTACTTGTGTTTGGGTTGCAAGACATTGATCAAATTCCTTGTGGAAAAGGAAGATTCATTTATCCATCACTCAGTCAAGATTAGGTTTTTTGTATGGTTTGAGATGGGTGTATTATCCGAGCTTGATTCAAATGTAGTTTCTATTTGAGCATGGAATGGAATTGGGGATGGGTCTTTCGTCTGAGGATTTCTTTGAGGCTTGTGAATCAAGCTATATTTCCTTAAGGCTGTGTTTACTAATTGGTTACAAGTTTAATACATTGAGCTTTCACCTTATGGTTTGAATCACGAGATGGGTAAAGATTTTTTGCAAGGAAAGGTTTTGAATTCATCTATCTCTTAATTCCTCAAGCTAAAGTGTTGCGCACGTCAATTGTTATTTCATATGCAAGGTATTAAGAACTTTTAAGATTCAAACATGGAATTAGAGTTTAAGCATGACATGAAAGTTCTGATGAAAGTATGAAGTGTACCCAAGTGTTGGAAGAGTTAAGCAAAATTAAAGTGGAATGGTAATTTGGAACTTGAAGATCATTGGAAAAAAATTAAGTTATGGAATTATCATTCAAGTTCATTCACACATCTTTCAAGTTCTAACTATTCAAACATCATTCATTACCCAAACCATTTCATTCAAGATCAAACAAGTTCATCAAAATCCATTCATGATTCTCTTCAAACACCAAGCATACATTACAATTACACCTTTACAAACAAAGAAAAACACAACAAGATACTATCCTATCCCAATCCTAATCTTCAAGTCAATTTCTAAAAACCTCATTCAAGCTTTTCCAAAATTTTTCTCGCTCAATACACCTCACCAAACCAATTCCCATGTCAAAAATCTGGTCACCATTTTAAAGCCATGTCCGAACATACTTGCAGCCTGCAACATAAACCAATCCATATTAAAACTCCTTATCAGAAAAGAAATTAAACAAAAATAGCCCTGCAAATTCATAAAACTGAGCCCTGTCCCAAAATTAGCAGCCCAACCCATGTGCAATTTTTACTGCAGTGAGAATAAGACCAAAGAAAAGAGAAACTTGTAAAAGATAGAACCGTGAAGAGGAAATTGTGAAACTACAACTCATCAAAACTTGCATAACAAGATTAAATCTCAGCCTTCTATCTCTGACAAACTTTTATAAACCAAAGGCCAAGATTGAGCAAAGGAGAAAAAATTTCCAGCTCTGCTATATCAAAAAGCGATTCATTCACGATTCAGAACCACCTTTTGACAGAGAGAAACTCAGAAATACTTCACACACAACAAAATCTCACAGAGGAAAAATCACAAAGAACTCAAGTCAATCTCTTTCTGAAAATCGTCTTCGATCTTCATCTTTCTCTACAACTTCAATCATCATCATCTTTATCAAGAATTCTGCACCGTATCATCGTCTCAGCTTCCAATTTTCTCTGCATAACAACAACACATTTCAGTTTACGAGATCCATACAACCGAATCTCACCGAATCTACAAGAACGCATTAACTATAATTCAGAAATGAACTCAAACGTACCTGAGATTATATTTGGTAGAGGTGAGCGATTCATTCATCATTTTGCCTTGTTCTTATCACTAGCACATGGAGGAGGCTGAGTAGAACTGAAACCCTTACAAATCATGGTGTGAGGCGTCGTCAGAAGTGTAAATTTATCATTCAAAGAATTAGGGTTTTAGAGATCGTTTGAAGATAAGGGTGAAACAAAGAGAGACAGACAAATGCAAAATGAAGACAATGTAGTGAGGATTTTTAGGAAATACTTTGAATTTTAGAAATTAGTTAGATTTATTTTACAATAAATTATTGTGCTAATTTTGGATCTTTACTTGAGATATCTTGATGCAATTTGCGCATGATAGTAGTGCTCAATCTGTGATATGTGTTGCATTATTGTGGGATGATTTTGTTGAAGATTTTAAGAGGTTATGAAGTAAATTAAGAGCGCAACCTTCATCAAGGAAAATCGAGGAAGCTTTTGGTAGAGTTTTCACATTGCTTATATGATTTTGAAGAGGCAACAAACTTTCTCCGTTAGGTACTTCTTGAATATCTTTTACCTCTCTTTCATGTATCATGCTAGGCTTTTTTATTTTTAGAAGCATATAACGTAGTTGCATCTGAAGTCCTACCTCGAAGTAGGCAATGTTTGATCTTGAAGTCCTACCTCAAAGTAGGCATTGTTTCTTGATGTTCACTTGAGCAATATTTCTGATGATGCAATTGGTTGATATTTGTTTAATTGTTGACCTGATATTTGAGTTTGTTCTTTTTAATGTTTTAATACCTTGAAATATGTTTAAATTTAATCTCTTATTCTTATTGGTCTCATCTTATTCACCATATTGATATCATTTTGCCTTGTTTGTTAGCACTTCTTGTTTAGAGAACTAGTCTCCATTTAGGGTTGCTTTTGACAAGTTGCTTGTGTGGCATTGATATGTTTCTTTCTAAAACTTTTTGGTATGATTGCGTGGAGTTTAATTTTACATAGTTGCTGACTTGTATAAATTATCATCTTATTCAATTCACTTATCCTTTGTATGTCATGTTTGGTTAAGCACTTCACACTTAGAGCTTTGTATGATAACACCCTTGTCTATTTTCTTTCTCTTAGGTCCCTAATGATAATACCTTATGTGCATGACCATTAGTATTTTTTAACATGCCTAAGTAGTTATTTTAATGTGAATTTTCTACCTTGATGCCATGTTGGAGCTTTAATTCCTTGATCACTTGTGGTTTGGTCCTTAGGGACTAGTTTTGTTGTTTGTTTGGTTCTTTAGCCAATTCTTGTGTGATCTTTTGTTTGATCTTTATTCTATCTTTCACACATATTTGTGTGAACCTTTTGAGGTATATTTGATGGCTTGTTTGAGTTTCTATCTTGCCTAAGTCATCTTGTCTTGATATGCTAAGTGATAATGTTTGTTTGACACTTAAAGCCTTGAGTGCTTGTGTGATTGATGATTGCTTGTGTTTTGGTTTGTAAAACCTTAGGGTAAAACCATTTGAGCATGACCCTTATGGGACCTTAGTGGGTGTATTGAGTCTTTACTTTTAGACATCTTTGTTCATTAATTGATGACCTTGAAGCATGCTTAGAGTTTAGGCTCTTGTTTGTTTGCTACTTGTGTTGATGATTGACCTGTACACTTAGGTGATTGGTTGGATTTTTTTGAGCTATTTATTTTGATGTTTATATTATTTTTTATTATATTTGTTTTTTTACTTGAATTTTCCCTTAGGATACTCATCTTGTAGACCTTAGGTTCTAAACTATGTATGATAATATTAGGTAGTTCCCTTTGTCCTCACCAATAGGTCCATTTTTGCATGCTAACATTAGGTAGCTTTCTCTTTGTTATCCTAACTTTAAGACCATTGTACATGACAACATTAGGATCTTTAGTCTCCCTTAGACTTTTTCTTTCTCCTTTTGCATCTTTAATACTAAAACTTTCTTTTTCTTAATCAAATGCCAAAATACTTAATAATAAAGAGGAAAACCATGTGTCATGAGCCTTAAGTATTGGGAGGAGTATGAGGGGGTGCATTCCCAACGTTGTGCTTCCTTTCAGTCATAGTCTTTAATGTGGTTCAAATTACCAAATCCTTTTTCAAGGTAAAAAAGACTCAACCAATTCAAACATTTTCGCCTTCGGGCTTTTTCTTTTGAAAACCTTTTCAGGTAAGAATATGTTAATTTCTTCCTATGACAAATGCGTGAGTCTCCAAAGGCCAAGCTGCAGTAGAATGCAAAATTAACGTTGTTCATAAAAAACACAAACCAAACCAAATTTTTTTAGAAGAACTACAGTGCTCTGATTCTCTATTGCACGACGGAGATATGTAGGCACGAGGTTTCAAAACCGAGGCGAGCACAATAATAAAAAAACTTTCTTTTTGTTTGTATATAATCTTCTGAATTCATGCATTTCCCTTAGATTGTAGTCTTTAGATAAAAAACACACCATTTGAGAACAAACAAGAGTGGATCTTGTGGAGTACCACAAATGTGAAGGGTGCTAATACCTTATCCTTGTGCAATCGACTCACATACTCGTTCTCTTGGTCGCGAGACCTTGATTTCTCCCTTCTCAGGTTTTCTTCGATGTTTTCCTTTCCCTTCTTTGGGATAAATAACATTCAATGAAGACTTCATTATTTATTATTTTTTCCAGTTGCTTCAGCTGGCGACTTCACTAGGGATCTTTTCCTAAGTGGGCTAGTCCTAGCTCTTAATTGTTGTGTTTTTGGGTGTTTTATTCCTTTCTAGCTTTATGGCTTGTTCATTTCTATATATGATCATCTGTATATATGTTTTCTTGCATTGCATTTTATTGCTTTCCATATGCTGGATATTACTGTGTTGTGCTGGATATTGGATCTTTTGTGTTTTCTTGGTGGGTGGGATGTTACCATGAGATAAAAGGCCCAATACATAGGCCAACATTGTAAACACTTAGGAACACATAGGACTAAAGTGGATGTTCATGTCACCAATTGGGTGCAAGGCTCTATTAGTGTGATCATGAAGTACCACGCGCATAAGAAGTTTATTTAGGGACATTATCATCATACGTGGCTATGTTACGATGATATGTTTTCATTTGACTAAAGACTCTGTGGACCTTTGACCTTACCTTGGCCAGATTTCATCCATGAGAGAGGAGGGAATTGATCTTAATAGGTGCCATTGTTGATGTTCTTGATACTTGGTTTTCGTATATTCCAAGACGGTGTCGGAACTTTGATCCTGCAATATTCAGATCGTTCAAAAGTAGTACATTAGTTATCCATTATAATGAAAACCTTGATCCCATGCCTTTGTATGCCATAACATGATTGTATCATCACAATACATGTTCTTTCCATTTCCAGAGAACCATATCTTTGAGTCTTATGTTGAGCTTTTATATCATTTACTTGCTAAAAATTAAAGCATGAGGGTTCCTTGGAAATGATTGAACACAACATTGCATCTGTAATACGGTGGGAGAACTAACTTTTACTGGTTTTGCATTTTATCTCAAAATGTTGCGGATAGCAAGAGTCTCCATCGACTTTTCTTTTATTCAATAAAGGAAAGGGTGAAAAGAGCATGAAAGACCTTTCGAGAATTTTTCTGAGTAAGGGGGGTAGGTTATGAAAAGGGAAGGTGTTAGCACCATTTTCATCCGTAGTTATCTACATGCTCTTAGTTGCTAGCTCACTTTGAAAATTCTTTTTGTGTAAGTGTGTTTTAAAAATATTTTGAAAAGATGCCTTAGTGCAGAAAACTTTGTAATGATTCTCGTATCGTTGAGAATGCATAGAAAGTGCTTTGTCTTTGAAAATATTTAGAAAAGAGAGTGTATGTGTGGAAATTTTGTTTTGTTTTGTGAGCAAGCAACTACAAGATGTCTACCTACTCGAAAGGTTTTTGTTCTTTTCCTTATTTCCTTTAGATAGTGCTATCCTACCATTAGTTAGTAGGTAGCCCTATCATTGGATGATTTTGAGGGACGGACGTGAGTCATCATATAGTCATGAAGGCAACTCGTAAGACACTTTAGGAATTACCCTAAGGTACTAAGATCATTTACCGAGGCAGCATCGAAGGGTCATCGAGGGACTATGATCTTTTAACCAGAGGGTCTTTTCTAATACTTCTCACGTTCTAGAGACGTGACTGTTGTTTTCCGAAGGCAACAAGTGGAGGTACCTTAGAGGTGCGCGTGTGTGAAGTGTGTTGTGTTCCAGGTATGTTTATCTTGGAGGTTAGGTTTTCTACCATTTTCTTTTAAGGCTTATCATGCACGCCTAATTAATCTAGCAATTAGATATATAGATAAGGGCAGGAAATAAAAGTGCGAGAAGTAAACTACGCTATTATATTACTTCGAGGATGAGGGAATACAAACAAAAATTTAGGGATAAAATGTAAAGGTCCTAAT